CGGGTAGCCGTTTACCTACGTCTAAGACCGTTTGGTATGAAGCACGCTCTAAATTTTACTTCGCCGCTTCTTATATCAAACACAAGCAGTTATAGCGGTGAGAAGAAAGAATCGCATTAAAATGTCATAAATGTGACGTCTCCATGTTGACGTCTTTAAGAGTTAATAATATGATTTCAGTAAGAAGTAAGAAAAGAGAATACTGTAAGATATCATATAACTGAAGTCTTATTTATGATACCGTTAGTAGCTTCTAATTTTGATTACAATAAGAGGTCAGAAAAAAAGATACTTTAAGAAGTTACAAAAATAAAATTGTGAGTTATCAATGAAAAACAAATATTTTGCACATGTAAATGTTGAAATGTCTGAAACACGTTTGGAATTGCATATTCCGCTCTCCTGAAACCGCCAAATTCGCCTTCGGCTCGTGTGACAAACTCTTCACTCGAGCGGATATGCTGTATTCCAAACTTGTTACAGAATATACTATTAAGTCATTCTGCATGACACAAACTATTTTTAAATGATAATATATTATTTAACCAACTTGGCACAGACCCTTTGGAAATACAATGCTTCAATTACGTCCTTGGGACGTACCCAGTATATCCGCTATAATTTTACCAAATAAGTAAGGACGTACCCAAAACTTCCGATATAGGTCTAGGACGTTCGGACCTATGTGGGACCCGAAATGGACTTCCTGGGTACCTCTTGTGCTATCTGGGTAAAACACCCAGTTATTGGCACCTTAAGCAGCTTATCAGATTATTTGTAGTTTTTATGTAACTAAAAGTAAAGCAACCTAATTATCCCTTTAAATGGAAAGTCTTTAAAGATTCTTTTATAGTTTTTCAAACAAAACATAACTCAAAAATAAGTTTTATAAGTAAAAAAAATATTTTTTTTATTTTATGTAACTTTTCCAGTCATTGGCAGATATCTCTAGTCATTGGCATTATAACTTAACGTGTTATTGGCATCAAGTCCCAGTGTTTGGCAAAAGATAAAATGCAGTAATTGACGCTTATCCTAGTCATTGGCATGTAACTGGATCCATTTTCCAAATTCTATTTTTTAATTACGAATTTTTTTTTTATAAAAGGTTTAAGTAAAATATAAATTGATTCTTTATTTTTTTCATTAGCTAATAGTCTAAGATCCCAAGTAAGGTCGACCTTCACCCATCTGCTTACCAGATGAAAATTATATTTTATCAAATAAAATATGTTTCTGAACATAAACCAATAGGGTTGCCATAAAAAATATGATCAAGGCTAGCTATAATAAATAAAAAATTAAAAAAAAATAATTAATTTTTTAAATTTCACCGACTTGCTTGCCAAATGAACGAAATTCCAATGGAAAGCATACAACATACAGAATATGTAACAGCTAGGTTGCCTACCTTTTTCTGGTCCCTATTACCTGGTTGCTTTGTACAGGGTGATCCCCTATAATGTCGCCCCCCTTTAACTTTTTTATTTTAAGTGTCCCAAAAAATTTAAAAGTGTGGTTATGTAGGAACTAAAAAATACTTTTTTTCTACGTATAAAGAAAATTGGAAAAGTGATCAGTATACAGGGAAAACAAAAAGTTTATTTTTTTCAATAGATCACCCTATATATGAATTTATTTTTCGATTCCTTGTAAAATTCTAAGCATATTTCATATATTATACCATATACCTAAATTCAACCGTTTCTGAAATATTTAAATTATTTTTAAGATAATAAGTTGAAATAGTTTGTCTTTCTCTGTCTGAGTACGCCATTTTTACTTATTTAACAACACTTATTGACATAATGTCACTATAGTAATTTATTTTCAATAAAAATTTTGGTATACTGAGGCTTCTTGATTTCTAACAGTTTAAAAAAACATTTAATGATGACATTTCGAATGCGAATATTTCAGAAACGGTTGAATTTAGGTATATGGTTTGTTATATAAATTATGCTCAGAATTTTACAAGGAATCGAAAAATAAATTCATATATACGGTGATCCATTGAAAAAAAATAAACTTTTTGTTTTTCCCTGTATACTGATCAATTTTCCAATTTTCTTTATACGTAGAAAAAAAGTATTTTTTAGTACCTACATAACCAAACTTTTAAATTTTTTGGGACAATTAAAATAAAAAAAGTTAAAGGGGGGCGACATTATAGGGGATCACCCTGTACAAAGCAACCAGGTAATAGGGACCAGAAAAAGGTAGGCAACCTAGCTGTTACATATTCTGTATGTTGTATGCTTTCCATTGGAATTTCGTTCATTTGGCAAGCAAGTCGGTGAAATTTAAAAAATTAATTATTTTTTTTTTAATTTTTTATTTATTATAGCTAGCCTTGATCATATTTTTTATGGCAACCCTATTGGTTTATGTTCAGAAACATATTTTATTTGATAAAATATAATTTTCATCTGGTAAGCAGATGGGTGAAGGTCGACCTTACTTGGGATCCTCTACTATAAGTTATGTACAAAATAAATAAACGAAAAAACTAAGAAACTGGTTCTAAACAACTGCTCACTTAGATGATACAAAATAGGCAATTAATCCTAACAAACCAAGATAAAATATTGTTAATTTAGTTTAATTTTAAACGCCTCCAAAGCCTTGCAAACTTTGCATTTATAAAATTCTTTGTAGGTACCATGTTTTTTTAAACACTTTTCATGGTATGATTTTGTACAAGTCTGAAACCTTATGCCATAATTTAACAAAGAGAAAATTTTGGTACATGAGACACAAAGTCCTTTGTTGCATATCACATTATTGATAGGAAGGCCTGATTTGGTACTTGGTTCAGTTGAAGAAAAAATGTCGGTTGATTTTTGTTTATATGATTTCTTATTTTTGTATTCGCTATTTTCTTTTTCAATATTTGGTAAAAAATAATCAATCGCCAATAATTGGTACAGGTCAAATTTCAAGTAATTTAGTTATTGGCAGTAATGCCAATATTTGGTTTGCACTAAAATATTATACCCAGTAGTGGGCATATTGAAAATTCACCTTTAAAAGTAAAATAATTAAATAAAAAAAATGTTAAAATTTTGTATAATGACTCTAAATATATAACAAATTGTTTAACTTTTATTAACATGCATTATTAAGGCAAAAAATAAGTATTTAAGATTTACCAATTACTACCAAAATGGCGACTTTATGCCGCGCGAAAGGTGGGCAATTTTTCGATAACGTTTACTTTAAAAGATTGAGTAATGTCAAACCTGATTGACATTCAAGGGATGGTGCTGTTGCCCCTGGTTATAAAAATGTAAGTACGTATAAAACTTAATATGGAAATTTGCTTATAAAATGATTTATTTTTCCTCGTTGCCAATAACTGGGTACCTGCCAACTATTGGGTGTTTTACATAACTACTCTTAAAATATCTGTAATATTGGAGGCTCAAACAATGATTAACATGGGTCTAAAAAAGCAAAAAAAATAGTACCTATAGGTATATACAGTGTGTCGCATTTAAGATGAAGACACCCCCATATTTTCGCTATTTCAAGAAATAGAGATTTGAATTTTTTCACATTCATACATGTTGGTGGGTCACATTTTTTAAGATACTCAACTGAAATCTGAACTTTAAGCTTGGCCTACTACGAATTCACAAACGGGGCCAGTTGTCGATATTTTGCTTCGCGTTAGAAATATCGAAAAAAATTATTAGAAAAAGTTGTTCAGAATATTATTCTAACCCCGTATACCGATTTTCATAGCAAAATTCGCATTTCTAATTTATTTATTTTTATTAGTTTTATTATTGTTTTATACCATTTCCTTAATTTAATAAATTATAATTGATTTGTAATTTCCAAAAATTGTTTTAATTATTTATTTAACGGTCATAAACACTAGTTAGTATCAAATTATTACTTTCCATGGCTCCCTTATTATCAAACTAAAAAATGAACTTGTAATAATTTTGTGTGGACCAAAATAAAAAAAAATTAAAAATGCGAATTTTGTTATAAAAATTGGTTTATGGGGTTAGAATAATATTCTGAACAACTTTTTCCAATAACTTTTTTCGATATCTCTAACGAGAAGCAAAATATCGAGAACTGGCCCTGTTTGTGAATTTGTAGTAGGCCAAGTTTAAAGTTCAGATTTCAGTTGAGTAGCTTAAAAAATGTGACCCATCAACATGTATGAATGTGAAAAAATTCAAACCTTTATTCCTTCAAATAGCGAAAATATGGGGGTGTCTTCATCTTAAGTGCGACACACTGTATACCTACTATTTTTTTTTTTGCTTTTTTGAGACCCATGTTAATCATTGTTTAATAATAATAATAATAGTTTGAGCCTCCAATATTTCAGATTTGTATACCTTTGTGGTTTTATTTATTTTGAGATTATAATACCTATTATAATAAAATACTAAAGTAACATATATATAATATATTAAAAAATATTATAGCAGAAATATTTATTTTGATGAGAGAAAAAATATTTATTTTTATATAATAAACCGTTAAAAAATTACATTTATTTTATTAAATATATTTATATAGTTATAACTTTAGAAATAATAAATTATTGTCATAAAAAATGTCATAAAATTTGAAAAATTTGTCATAAAATCATAAAAAAAGTACAAAACAATGCTGGGAAACCTGAATAAGTAATTTTATATTAAATTGGTAAGAAAGCTTTTTTGTAGAGCATTTAGTTTTCTACAAAAATATGTATTGAATAATATTATTGCTGTATATTTACCTGTTCAAGAGAAGAAAAAAATTAAATTTTAAAAGTAAAAAATAGCATGTTATTGAAATGGGAAATGTGTCGTGTTTTTGGCAAGGTTTGATATTAATATTAAGAACTTTTTGGTTTTATATTTTTTTAGGATATACAACAACAATTTAGGGGGCGCTGTTGAAAAAAAAATCAACTTGGTAAATAACGTACACCTTAATAATTTATTATTAATTAATATTTGTTTTTCTATCTAAAGTTTATTTTTCAGGTTTTAAAAATCTAAATTGGTACTCTCTCCATCACTTCCTTTCCAAATAAATTAACAATTTAAGGTAAGTTATACAAAACTTTACATCTTTGTATAAAAATAAAAATTCCTTAAATGATGCTTTTTTACCAACTGAGCCTTTTTTGATGACTCTAGATTACCACTACCCATTAACTGATTTAAAAAAATATATATAAGATTTTAGTCATTATGTTTAAGTTTCACTAATTTTTTTTTATATATAGATTCTACTATATTTTGAAGATGCCATTTTTGGAGTTACATCTAAAATTTAAAAATATTTCAGTTTTAGTATGATGTTTTTTTACTGACTGAGCCTCTTTTGATGACTCTAAATTACCACTACCCATTTACTGATTTTAAAAATAGCTAAATTTATATTTTGATTATTATCTAATGTTGAATTACTAAATATATTTTATTTTATTTTTTAGCAGTCTAGGATCATCAATCAAGGTTATCATTGAAATAACATCTAATGATTCAGGTAATTAAACCCCACTCATACATATAAAAGTAGTTTTAGAATTTTTTACATGATGCTTTTTTACAACTGAGCCTCTTTTGATGACTCCAGATTACCACTACCCATTTACTGATTTTAAAAGTAGCTTTAATTTGAAAGACTTGATTTTTGCCTTTACTAAAACTATTTATTTTATTTTGTAGGTCTCTACCATATTCTGAAGTCCTTTTCATTTGATGATTTAGGTAAATTTAAAATCTAATATATTTAAATTTTAGTAATAGTCATTTTCATATAATGCTTTTTATTGGACTGAGCCTCTTTTGATGACTCTAAATTACCACTACCCATTTACTGATTTTAAAATAGCTAAATTTATATTTTGATTATTATCTAAAGTTGAATTACTAAATATATTTTATTTTATTTTTTAGCAGTCTACGATTTTTAAGGTCATCATTGAAATAACATCTAATGATTCAGGTAATTAAACCCCATTCATACATATAAAAGTAGTTTTAGAATTTTTTACATGATGCTTTTTTACAACTGAGCCTCTTTTGATGACTCCAGATTACCACTACCCATTTACTGATTTTAAAAGTTAATCTTTATTATGTTAAACAAATAAGCTGTTCCTCCATTAAATGTTTGTATTTTACAGGTTGTATACCTTGCCATGGTCATTTTGAAAAATGCATTTATTGATGCAGGTAAATTATAAATCTTATACTTAAAAGATGTCCTGGAATAAGAAAACAAGTTTTAGAATAGGGCCATTTCAAGCATGCGGACGGGAAAAAATACAAAACTGTTTTTATAAAAAAAAAATGGTAGGTAATTTATAATATAATATTTTGGCATCAAAATTGTCAAAAATATTCTTCTTTTATTAGGCCTATACATTAAATAAAAAACGAAAGAAATATTTTATAAAATAGAGATAATTTTAATAATTGACAGGTGTGGATAAATTATTTTTTTGTATAGCCTAATAATAAAAGAATATTTTTGACAATTTTGATGCCAAAATATTATATAATAAATTAACTACAATTTTTTTATAAAAACACTCTTGAAATGGCCTAATAGTGACTGAATTTGGGGTTGAAACCTTATTTTTTTATTCCTCATTATATGATTACAAATTTTGTTTTTACTTTTAAATGATGTTTTTTATTGACTGAGCCTCTTTTGATGACTCTAGATTACCACTACCCATTAACTGATTTTAAAAGTATCTTCAATTTGGAAGACATTTGATTTTTGTCTTTACTAAAACTATTTATTTTATTGTTTAGGTCTACCACATTCTGAAGTACTTTTCATTTGATAATTTAGGTAAATTTAAAATCTATATATTTAAATTGTAGTAATAGTCATTTTCATATGATGCTTTTTATTGGACTGAGCCTCTTTTGATGACTCCAGATTACCACTACCCATTAACTGATTGAAAAATAATCATGAATTTAAGGTTTCAATATTTTTAACTTTACTTATATAGCTTTTATTTTTTAGGTGACCAAAGATGTTCACCTATATTTTTGCCCAAACTATAGGTAAAGAAAAAAATCTTATTTATTACATGGATTTAAATAATTTTCAAATGATGCTTTTTTTAAACTGAGCCTCTTTTGATGACTTCAGATTACCACTACCCATTTACTGATTATTATTATCCAACTATATTTTTACGGTTTATAATTTTTTCATTTAATTTAATGATTTTTTTTTATTACAGGAGTGATGGATACCTTGTTCCAGTATTGAGGCTGATGATTTAAACTTTATAAATAAAAAGTGCATTTAAATCATTCCATGTTAAATATTTTATAAATTATTTATATTTATTTTGATAATAAAATTACTGCAGTAACCAAGGTATTATTTTTAGTTTTAAGTAGAGTAAATCTCCACAGCATGTAATATACAGGGTGTACAAAATCACTGAACCAAACGAAAATCCAAGACAAAATTTACCTTTACCATTTTTTTCAAATTTGCAAAATTGCAGGAGTTATTTAATTTTTAAGGCTGCCAATAAGGTCGCAAAAGGTAAAATTTCAAGTCGAGTTTTCCTTTTCCACTTTAGAATTTGCATAATTTCAGGACTTTAAGGCAGCCAATGAGAAATCATTGCAGTAAAGGAATATTTGATAGATGAGATCATTTTTAAAATAAATAAAAATTAAGCCTATTTTCATCAAATACCGGTTCCGGTCCGGTTTTCTGTCCAAAAACTGTCCGGTCCGGGTCCCTGATTTTAACACAAATGGTGCGTCGAAATACCTTCTTTATCTCTGGAAATACTTCTCTGGCACACAATGTGTGGATTGTGCTCTGGCAGAGCTGAACTGTAACTGACCTACATGGATGCGAGCATAGAAAAAGGATGCGAGTACTGAAGCTACCTAATTTTCCCTTTAGTTTAATATGTAAAATATCCCCTTACCTTAATACCCAAAACAACAATTTTTCGGATTTTGCCAGCTATTTTTGACTTTGGACCACTGTGCGCCGGTACGGTTTTGTTATTTACAACAGCTGGCAAGCCTGGTTGGTAAGAATTTTGTTGGCAACTGAGATATTGACAGAATTTGGTTATTACATCAATAAAATAAACAATCCCCATTGTATGTCACAAAATAAAAAAATTTCAATAAAAATGGCTCAAATTTGCGAATCTCTAACGCTCGCTAAAGGTAAGAAAACACATAAACCCAAGTATCACTTAATATTCTAACCTTACTTACAGACATAAAAAGATCCATCGATCTTCTCGAAAAGTTGCAAAAAAATGGAGAGGTCCCCGCCACAAAGCTAGCAGCCCTACAAAAAGTGCTACAAAGCGACTTTCTTAACGCTGTCAGGGAAGTTTACGAGCATGTTTACGAAACTGTAGATGTACAAGGATCTCAAGATGTACGAGCCTCTGCCACTGCCAAAGCAACAGTTGCTGCTTTTGCAGCCAGTGAAGGCCACGCTCATCCAAGAGTTGTTGAATTACCCAAAACTGATGAAGGATTAGGTTTCAATGTAATGGGAGGCAAGGAACAAAATTCTCCCATATATATATCTCGTATTATACCTGGAGGAGTGGCTGATAGACATGGAGGACTAAAAAGAGGAGATCAGTTGTTAAGTGTTAATGGAGTGGTAAGTTCCAGTTTTAATTTGTCACTTTTTCTAAAGTACTTTCAGAGCTCAACTTTTCCTTTAAGAAGTTCAATACTTGTATTTTTTGATAAAAGTTTACAAAATGTTGCATTATTTTTTACAAAATTTAGAGAACATTCTACTAGAAAAAATACCTTAAAAGTAGAATTGAGGAGTAAAATATTTTGCCTTTTTTAAACAATATATCAATATTAACAACCCTATCTTATAAATTAAATGTAAATTTATATATTAAAGAACATGTTTTACCAGAGGAATAAATTTATATGCACATGAATATTCATATGACTCCTAAATATTATTTGGGCAAATAATATTTGATCTTTTGTGCTTTTTTATGTCCATTAATTGTACTGTGGCTAAATTTTAGTAAAAATACCATGAATTTATTAAGTATATATTTTATTAATGGTAGGTAGTTTTACTAAAATTTAGCCAAAGTAAAGTGTATGGACATAAATGAGCAAATTTACAACATATACCTACCCTAACATTATTTTTTTAGTCTGTAGAGGGCGAAAATCATGAAAAAGCTGTTGAACTTTTAAAACAAGCACATGGATCTGTTAAACTTGTTGTTCGTTACACTCCCAAGGTACTGGAAGAGATGGAATTAAGGTTTGACAAGCAAAGGGCTAGAAGGAGACAGCAGTATAATTAAATGCAATTAATTCATATGAGGTATATCTGCATTATTTAAATCTTTCTTTTATGGGTTTAATATTTTGACTGCAATATTTTTAAGTATTTTTTTACAGAGTATTATGGAATTTTTTTATTATTTTATTTATTGTAAAAACTAGTGGTGTGCTATATAATATAGGCAAAATTTAAACCTTTCAAAAATATGGAAATTGCCAGATTTAGGCCTGTATTTCCATGGATCTTCATTTTTGATAATCCAGAACATCACTAGCTAAATATTAAAAACTGGTTATTTTATTTGATTTGTGCTGTGCGCCCCACAGTAGATTGGCGGTCTTACAAATGTAATGTAATGTAATCTTCTATTACTATGTAAAAGTCAACTCTTTATTGGTATTACAACTAAGGTTTATTCCATACTTGAAATTATGCAAGTATGCAATAAAACATAATACAATACAAATATAGAGTTGGCCTAATATAGAAATGGAGGGTTACATCAAATTCCTAAGATGGCCAATCTTTTACATGGCGCTATATTATTAATAATCAGTGTTGCATTTACTCCCGATTTTCATTAATTTTACCCTGAATTACCCTAAATACAAACGAAAATACCTAAATTACCTACAATCACCTAAAATTTCTTTAAAATAAATTTATAGTAGCCTACTTTAAATACATTAAATTAGGATCCTAATATCAAAACCAGCAACCTCCACTTAAGTAACATTTTCAGAAATTAAAAATACGCTATTAAAGTAAAAAAAGTAATATGGGCAATGGGTATAAGGTATAATATTTTTGTTCAATCATTTGAACTGGACTCTTATTTTTACGTAAATTTTGTAAATGTGATAAAATTTGCTTATAAAAAGTATTGGAGTTTGCTGTGTTATATAATAGAAATGTGTATGACAAAATTTTAGCTTGATTTTACCCTAAAACTATCACTGCCCTAAAACATACCCTTAATCATTAAAATTTTCCTAGAAAAGGGTAATTACCCTACAAATGGCAACACTGTTGATAATAATAAAATTCTACAAGCTATTGGTAATTAATTTGCAAAATACTTAAGTATTTATTTTGTGTGTTCATTATTGTATCTTTATTTGTATGTTGCTTATAGTTGTTATTTAATGGTTGCACCCAGTAAATGAATTTTATTAAAGGGAAATACCATATTTCTGTTTTATTATATAACAAAGTATTCCATTACCCAAATCCATTTCACTTACTTTTAAGGTTTAAATAATACAAATTTTATTATTACTTAAACTTATTTATTATATTAAAATATATTTAATTTTTACATCTCTGATAATATATTATTTACAATAAACATATAAACGCTAAAAGGTACATATTTCTAATACCTACAGGTAATCCTGTTATTCGTGTTCAAACATTGCAAATCATGTCCCATTAGCCTCATAACAAATACCTTACAGTTAATATTAATATTAACTTATTGTTGAAATATAGAAAAAATATTTCCGATAAGTTTTACAGTCTTAGTATTCCTTCTTAATTTTTTACAAAATTAAATAATTTAGAAAACACTATCCAATTTATAATCAACGGACTTTTTTGTTTAGTTTAGTGTTTTTTAATAAAAGTGTTAGCTTTGCTATAATAACTGTGCTTTCAGAAATTGCATGTGCTTTTGTGAAGGGTTAGTTTAGGTGCTTTAGGTACCTATTATATTTAAATATAAAAAAGTAACACTTAAAATATTTGTTATCACTATATAACAAATAATAGAACTAAAGATGTTTGTTTCATAAATTTGCATTATTTACATTTTTTAAATATATAGTTGTATAAGGTAGGTACTATTATTAAAACTATATCAAATTTATTTTGATTACAAATTATGATTTAAGAACCTACTACTGGGAAAATCATTTAACAAAATTATAAACCAAGATTTACCAAGATTTAAAATATATACATTTTTTCGCCACGAATTAACTAGTTTAATTAACACTAGGATCGCCAAAGTAACTTATGCAGTGGAAATATAGCATTATTATGTTATAAAAATGATTTGGAAGTAAAAAAATATAAAGGGTGTTTTAAAAATGAGATGCCACACAAAACAAAACAGTTTGTTTCAAATAATATAAAATGATGTGATAATATGATTATGAGAAAAATAAATGTTTTCTTTTTAAACAAATTGTTTTTCGATTATTTATAATTGTATAAAAAAGTTAACATAAACCAAAGTTAAATTTTAAATAGTTGTCAGAATAATATTGAGTCAAACCACGTCAAGTGGGACCAGAAAATTTCACGAAATCACCGATTTTGAAAATAATCACATTATTGTGTAGTAGGCATGACTCAAATGTCACAGTAAAAAAATTGTTTTAAAATTCGGTTTTTTGGTAATGTTATTAAGGTTGACAATTTTGTCAAACTTTAGAGAACGGTAAAATTGAAAAAATAGAATCTCTGGAACCACTATGTATAATTGAATTAAATTTTACACACTATTGTAGAAATGTTTAGACTATATAATGATCATTTAATTAAGGTTAATTTGTTTAAATTAAATAATTTTGCATACATTTATTATAAACAATTGAAATTTTGTATGTGTTCTTCACGCTGAAAAAAAATTAATCTTGTGTCATAATATGCGGCAAACGTTCCCGTTTAATAAAATGTACTCAAAAATTTGTCCTTCATATGTCATTCCGGAGATATTAAATTTTTTGTCCCGCTGTGCGCTTGATCAGTACGCGGCGCGCTTCGCTGCTAGCTCGTCAGAACACGGTGTGCCTGAACGAAGTTTAAGTCGCATAAAAATTCCGCAGTTTCTTGTTCGGGACTCTTTGGTGACTTAAAAATAATATTTACCAAAATCCTAGCTGCTCCCCTTTTCGAAACATTTTGAAAAATCTTTTTATGCATTATGCGTTTTACTATATAAAAAAGTGATTTTTGTCTAACCCTGTATAAATCTAATGATGTGCTCAGTATAAAAACAGTTTCTCTCGTTTACAATATCGGTGTACAAATGTATACTCTGGCAAAGGTAGACTTTGCGATAAAGAAATAATTAAAAAAAATGAATTTTTTACAAATTTAAACAAAAAAAAGTTAGAATTTTGGTAAATATCTTTTTTAAATCACCAAAGAGTGCCGATCAAAAAACTTCAACCAATTTTTCGTTCAAAATTGAAAACTACTAAAAAGCCTAAATTAAACAACATTTTAAATACTCTCTAAGCGTTATTTTATTAAATTTTATTACAAATCTATTTTTCTTGTAAAATGTTAATAAAAATGCAATTTTGTAACCTGATAGACGTAGAAATATCTACACAAAAATTGGGGATAAATATTTTTCGCGTGTTATGCTATAAGTAATCATGAATTTACGCTTTTGCATTATTAAAAATAAGTGATTTTTGGCTAACCCTGTATATATCAAATGATGTGAACAATATTAAAAAGTATTCTCTAAGTCTCCTAAATAATTTATTCTAATTTTATAAAAATCGGTGTGCAAATGTGTACTCTGTCAAAGAGATAAACAAATATTTAAAAAAAATCATGAATTTTCGAACAATTTTGAAAAGAGAAGCAGCTAGAACTTTGGTAAATATCATTTTTAAGTCACCAAAGGGTCCCGAACAAGAAACTACAATCAGTTTTTGGCGGCATTTTTATGTGACTTAAACTTCGTTCAGGCACAACGTTAGAACGGACGAGCTAGAAACGAAGCGCGCCGCGTACTGATCAAGCGCACAGCGGGACAAAAAAATTAATATCTCCGGAATGACATAGGAAAGACAAATTTTTGAGTACATCTTATTAAACGGAAACGTTTGCCGCATATTATGACACAAGAATAATTTTTTTTCAGCGTGAAGAACACATACAAAATTTTAATTGTTTATAATAAATGTATGCAAAATTATTTAATTTAAACAAATTAACCTTAATTAAATGATCATTATATAGTCTAAACATTTCTACAATAGTGTGTAAAATTTAATTCAATTATACATAGTGGTTCCAGAGATTCTATTTTTTCAATTTTACCGTGCTCTAAAGTTTGACAAAATTTTCAACCTTAATAACATTACCAAAAAAACGAATTTTAAAACAATTTTTTTACTGTGACATATGAGTCATGCCTACTACACAATAATGTGATTATTTTTAAAATCGGCGATTTCGTGAAATTTTCTGGTCCCACTTGACGTGGTTTGACTCTATTGTCATTTTTAAGACACCCTTTAGGTATATTTTTTAGTATTAAAAAAGTCATGATATTGCTCTTTCTACAAAGTAAATTAACATTGAAATAATATTTGAGGCCCCCTAGAAGCCAGGGGATACTTAAAAAGGACTAAATTACAGACATATAGTAAGCTTGTAAATCTTAAAAAGCAATAATAAATCAAACAATTTTGAGTCCAAATGATTATAAACTAAACTAAATCTGCTTGTACCGCTTGGCTTCTAGCGGCCGTATTTAATATTATAAATTAAGATTATTTTAAAACAACCTACGTTACAAAATTTGTACATAGGCTTTAAGATGACATTCTGTACAATAAAATTATTGATAATAATTCTACAATATCTATGAGGTAATTTAAAATAGGTAGGTAGTAAAATTGAATCGAATGTAGGGCGAGTTTTAATAAATAAATATTAATGATTGATGAATTTTTATAAAAACAAAACAAATGATAATGGTAATGTGATAGGCCGGTAATTATAAATTGGCTACGTTTTTTAATTTAACCTAAGTGGCGCTGACAAAACCTTTCGGTTTTATCATCATGACTGCTTTCTTTAGGGTGTAGTCCCATCCTCTCCAACGGAACCAAACAATACCTAAAAATATAAAAAAGAAAACAAGTTTAATATATTTTTAAACAAAATAACAGATTTCGTAAAATGTTTGTATGGTTTTATGTTAAAATAAATTTATTACAAGTTTAATCTTAAAATTAAAGGTTTTTCCATAGAAACGGTTTCAAGAAATTCTACTTAAAAAAGACCCAAATATTTTTTTGCCTTTGCCTTTGCCTTGTGCCTGTTTACAAAAGTTAATAGTTTTTTCAAAGTAATATTACAATAGTTTTTATAGCATAACATTCTGATATTTCAATTAAAATCTTTTTAAAAAGGTAATAGGTTTATTCGGGTTATAAAATTCTGTTTCTGTTTAAAGATTGCGCAGAACTGTAGTCGCAATAGTTTTAGGTTCTGAACCCTTCTGGACTAGTAAAATATTATTAAATACCAAAACGTTCACGCGGTAGTTCTCAAAATCGCCTGTATGTGTCGCTTTCAGTATTTTGGTATTTTGTTTATTTTAACCTCTCAATTGTATTTGTTTTACAGTGCGACCCATTTGTTTGCGACTCACCCCTGTAAAATCTTTATTTATTGTGCGATTTTCACCGGATTTGATTTAAAATGCAGATCTTGATAAACTGTATTTTTGGAGCAAAAGTACAAAATACAAAGCCTACTTGTCAGTTTTTAAGAGTAAATTTTTAAGAATCCAAGCACGGCACTGGATTCACCACCCCTTAAAACTACCCTATACTAAATTTTATTGAAAAATTTTAAGAAAAAAAAATGCACAAAAATAACTACAAAAATTTATTTTGTCAAGTTATCCATGAAAAAACATTGAAATAAAATTAAACTTATATTGACATGGTACTATGTAATAATTACTATAAGTTTAATTTTATTTCAATGTTTTTTCATGGATAACTTGACAAAATAAATTTTTGTAGTTATTATTGTGCATTTTTTTTTCTTAAATTTTTTAAATAAAATTAGTATAGGGTCGTTTTGAGTGGTGGTAAATTCAGTGCCGTGCTTGGATTTTATTTAAAAAAAATCGCTAAAATGAATTCTTAAAAACTGACATAGTAGGTTTTGTATTTTGTAAAAATATGGCGTTTTTGCTTCAAAATCGCTAAAATGAATTTTTAAATATTTACTCTTAAAAACTGACATAGTAGGCCTTGTATTTTGTAAAAATATGGCGTTTTTTGCTTCAAAAACACAGTTTATCAAGATCTACAGTTTAAAACAAATCCGGTTAAAATCGCACAATAAATAAAGATTTTACAGGGGTGAGTCGCAAACAAATGGGTCACACTGTAGGTATGCTTTAAAGCATGGAGCCTACACAAAGAATCCGAACTTCATGTATACAAAAATCTGTTGAAAAAACATTTGTGCAATTTAGTGAGCAGGAATTGTCAATATCCCCTATTAAGTTTGAATTCCTTGTGTGGCCTCCATGATTTTGGCACTTGTCATTTAGGGACCGGTTATTTTGACAGGACATTTTGACACCTGTCATTTTTTCAGCCTTTATTTTGGAATCTGTCATTTAGGGAGCTGTCATTTAATAGATGTCATTTTTTTACCTGTTGGAGGGAATCAGCAATAATACGTTGATTTACAATTTTTTTGTTTTTCTCTTAATTTACCTATTTTTAAAATTCAAATAGCAATTTAAAAAAAAAACCCAATTTTTTAACAGTACGTCACACTTTTTTAGGGGATTTCAGACACCCCCTCTACCCGTGTCTCGCATAAGAGCATTATTAGACCACACGATGTCACAAAGTCTTGCCCCCTCCCCACATTAAACGTACTTTATGGACTAACCCCCAAGTTCATAAAATTATTTTCGCACCTTTTGCATGTAGGCACTTTACCTCGATTTTCAATCGATTTAAATACTTTAAAGAATATTAAACTTAACATATAGAAACCACGGTCTTATATATCAGGGGTCTAATATCAAACCCAGCAAAGTCCTTTGTGAGTAACATTTTTAAAGGTTAAGAAATACGCTATTAAAGTATTTCCTTGAAAAAAAAAGTTCCATTAATATAAGATATGATATTTTTACTCAATCATTTCAACTGGACTCGTATTTTCTTGAATTTTTTGGTAAATATCATGGAATTTGCAAATAAAAATACTGGACTGTGTTTGATATTAGACCCCTGATGTATAAGACTGTGCTAGAAAAAGATGTTGGATTCGTAATTCTTGAGACATCTGCCCTTTTCAGAGCCATCGAAGCGCTTTGAAACGTTCTTAAAAATTGTTAGAAACGTAGGTAAACAATTTTAACAACAAACTGGTATGCGTAGATTGCAAACATCCAATAAAAAAATGCCGTAATTTTCCACATTTCGAACTACCTATGCATTTTGTAAAATTAAATTAAAGGTTAAAGTAAAATGTATCACATAAGATACATATCTAAGTGAATTGATTTGCTTGGAGCAAGCAAACAATGAAATTAAACTACCACACGCAAATATCAAGGAAATAAATAAACAACCTTATAAGTTACGTAAGTAACAATTTCACAGACAAGTATGTTCCATTTACGTTAACAATTGTTAGAATAACTTAAAGGACCAATTTAATTTTATTGGAATTGTTTGACTACGTGAACTGAATAATAGATATTAAGAGGAAATGCTGTATTTTTCCATTTTGGCGGATGCGCTGGGATATAATCTAATTTGAGTAAAATAAGTAGTAAAAATGTCCAAAACACATTTTTCACTAGGAATTTTTAACGGCCTATTAAAATTAACGATGGGCAGTTTGCCTAGAATGTAATGTAATGAGGGCCGGATTAAGGACGAGGCCAGCAGCATTTTTGGTTCCAAAAACCATTGGCAAAGTGGTGATAACTTTAAATTAGTTAAGTATACTAAACAGCTACTTAAATTTTTACTTACAAGTAATTCTAACTTTTAAATAGCAATATTTTGTAACAGAAACTAAATTTTTCCCTAAATGGTTACTATAAAGTAATAAACATTTAAGTAAAACTTGGTTGCCCCCAAGAAGACTTTGCAACTTTAAAAAAGGTGTTATAAGTAAAAAAAACTTTCAAGTAAATTTAATTTGTAGCAGTTACTTTCGGTTGCTACCTAAAGATTACATTATAATTATTTTTACTTTGTAGTCCCTTTGCAAGTTAAAATCTCGAAACTGGAACATGAGTTAAAAACTACAAAGTTAATAACTTAAAAGTTATTATTTTAGTATTTGGAACGTTTATGGTACTAACCAAAACAACCGTAAAGTGGAAAAAAACTTTAAAGTAGCGAAAACCACTTCAAAGGAAAATGCTTCTTATCGGCCATTTTTTACTGTACAGTACCACGTGGTAATGTAACTAATAAATTATTTTAAATGTTTGTAAATGGTTGTTTACTTTTTAATAAATAGTAATTTTGTTGGTAATAAACGGTATTAATAATTAAATAAAAAAATTAATAATAAATATTAAGATTTTTTTATTTATAAACATTATTAAATAAATAATTTGTTTATACTTAAATATTGATGAAGCGCATTTATTTTACAAAAAACTAAATTCATAAGTTCAACAGTAAAATTTAAAGGGTTCATAAATTTACCTGCCTAATTAAATATTATATTGTTATTCTGGAAGTTATAAACTACCAGTACATATTTAATAAACGACGACATTGAAAAGCCAAGTCCGTAGTGGTTCCATTTAAAAAAGGAGGGATAGTATAATCTATAGGTTATAATATAAGTTTGACAAAGACACTTAATATAGAAGTGAAAACAAATAAATAAAAGTAATTATAACGCTATAGCAACGATATTGGAACGTTCTAGTAACGTAGCAGCTAAGTTCCAAATGGTAGCAGGGTTTGTAGCTAGTGACATATTTGTTACCTTTTTGGAACTCAATAATTGTTCCCCACTTTAGTCGTAACTTAGAGTAAAAGAGTAATATAAAGAGACCGGCGACTGTCGCAAAACACTTTAAAGTTTCTTCAATAGTCCCATATACGTAACAAATACTTAAATTGTTGCTTTGGCCGGTGTGGCACCATTGATTAAGGCGGCACCAAAACTTACTGTACTGTGTTACCGCACAAAAAGAAGTATTTTCAACATTTTTTTTTTAATATAAAAGGAAATGCTTGTTATACTTGCCTTGTCTAGCAGTTAAATCTTGGGGATCATTTAGATAAAGTCCATTTAGTCCTCGTCCACACGATTTCCACCACCATCCTCCTTTCAACATGGATGCGCAATTTAAACTTGATCTGTCATTATCTCTAAAACAATATTAAAAACATTGAATGGTTTTTTGATAAGATCGTGGTTCTAACTATTACTGACCTATTATACGTTGAGAATGGACTATTGTTGCTACCATACCATGGGTCATTCAATGAATCGCCGGCATTTCCTTCGTATCCGTCTATTTCTAATTTGTAATATTCGGCCTCTGAATAAATTTTGAAGTGCGAATACTGTGCATACCTAAAACAAAACGAAACTTTAAAAATAAAGAAATATTTTAATTTAATCCTTTATTTAATTTTGCGTTTTGATGACATTTTAAGGATAGGTAAAATTTAAAATCCTGACTTTAAACTTAAAAAACAGACAGTTTTGGATTAAAATCGGATTTTAAAAAAGTTACGTTTGGTTTCTTCCTTAAGCTGCTGAATTGTCATAGAGTGGTTTACAGTTTAATCAAGTACGAGCGTAGACGGAAATTAGATAAAGCTAGAACTTTAGTTCGTCTGTGGTTTAATATAGGAGCATAATATCCTACATAATGCAATGCTTAATAATATCCTATATAATGCATTGCTTAACAAAGAAAACTGAATCCTGAAGGAAGATAATGACTCCAAAAAATCGTAGCATTTGGGGACATTGTTCGTTGATTACAATGGACTAAAAGGTTATTGCTAAAATTTCCTATATTTATTTATTCTGATAATTATATAATTAAAAAAATAATACTCATGAAGAACCTATTTTTGCAATTCGTTAATAATTTATGTTTTCATTTTATCTTCACTTACAGCAGTAAACAATACTCTAATTAAAACACTACATGGTGATTATTGTTAATTAACTTTTACGAGTCCATCAATATTTATTTCTCTATTAAACTTTAAAAACGCAATAATTTGCTATTTTAAAAGGTTGACAAACCAATTATTTTCTTAATCATAATTGTTAATCCAAAGCCCATTAATACAGCGCGTATTTTTTTAATAACATTTAACTTTCTTCGCTTTGTTCATGTCATAAAAATAATTAACAGGCAGTTTAAATAATAAAATTCAATGACCAGAATCATTTGTTCCGCGAATATTAAACGCCTTCACACATTGTCAAATGAATTTTCTATTCAAAGGCCCTATCTATGTTACCTAGGCTTGGTGCAAGGAGTGTTACTCTGTAGTGTAGAAAGTTACATTATGTTATCAAAAAAATTTTTGCTTATACGTTTTTTAAACCGTAATTAATAAGCAAACAATAATACTGTTTTTTATTTATTTACATAATATGTAAGAATATTATTTCATTAAAAATTCGCTTGAACAATGGATTACTATACAAATGTAGGTATATCAATTTTTTACTTTTTAAAGAAAGAATAACTTTTTTTAACTTTTTTAGTATTTCCGTACCTTCACAGTTCTGGCAAGTCGTCAGAGGGTTAACGTTTTTCTTAGTATAGGTACATACGCGTGTCTGATTTGGCGCCCGGTAAAAAAAAATTGGAAGGGCCTTGATTCTTCAATTCTAATCTTACTAAAATTTCTTTAGTAAGCTTAGGGTTAGTTAGATCGTTATTATTATTTGCTTAGGTATGTATATTAGGGTGGAGCGAAAAAAAGAAAAAAAATTTTTTTCCTTACCCTGGGGGTGGAATTTGTAGCCTATAAAAAAAGAAAATTTTTGAAATAAAATAAAATTTTTTACTCAACGTCTTGAGGTGGCCCACTGAGTTTTTAAATTAAATTTAAGTTAAAATTCTTTTGAATAAAAAAAAAATTTCAAAAGTGTTCCGGAAACTGCGGAGTGTCCTCTTTCTTGCTAATTAATAGTTAAGAACTTAAAAAAAATTTTTTGGTCATTATTGTTGTTTTTAAAAAAATTCCAAAATAATAACATGCTTTTCTGAGGCAATAGAGCGAATTTCGAGTTGAACACGATCAAATTTGTTTATTTTTAGATAAATTTGAAGATTACAAGCCAAAAATTTTTTTTTTTTATTCAAAAGAATTTTAACTTAAATTTAATTTAAAAACTCAGTGGGCCACCTCAAGACGTTGAGTAAAAAATTTTTTTTTTATTTCAAAAATTTTCTTTTTTTATAGTCTACAAATTCCACACCCAGGCTAAGGAAAAAAAAATTTAGCTCCACCCTATACCCTATATACATTGTATATGATCTTCTTTTGTAATACGGTTTTTATAATTTCAGGCTCGATTTAAGTTTATTTAACATTTAAATTGGTGTATTGAAGATATGTATGACTAGATTTTTTTCAACAATGGCGTTAGAAATGGTAGGTATGGTATTTTTTTTCTTGCATTTTTTCTTCTAATTTTTAGGGTTTGGATTGCGTACTCCTTAAGGAGGTGATTTTTAATCAAATTTTCTTTTTAAAACACAGCTTTTTTAAAATAGATATTATAAAATTTAAATTTTAACACTCTTTTTAAATAATTTTTGAAATTACATTCTACTAACCTTTTACCAAAAAATATTAAATTCGGAAAAACTTAATATTACATAAACTATACCTATCTAAACTATCAAGTATTTTTATTGAGATTTACGCTAAAGAAGCATCGGACATGCATCGGGCGCTCGATAGCATTATTGAAATTCAAGGTTTTTTAAGAATGTACATTTAAAGCTTACGAACTGCTCATTATTTTTATATAAATAAAGAGTTTTTTTTCAAAAGAAAGGAAGGCAAATTTTATTTGCAAAGTTGCAATTGAACGCTCACAAATTTTGTGATTTGCGTTGCAAGTAAATACTGAAAAACTTTGCTTGGTTTAAGTACCCGATTTCGGTTTTTCATTCTTTATATGCTTATATAGTTACGTTTGTGTGTGTATTCTATCCAAGTGATGATATTGAATTATTGTGTTTTTAATTGTAAATGTACTTAATTCAAAAACTAAACATTGCATTTTTATGTTTTGCCAAAAGATGCAATCCGGTACGTATTTTTGGTGGTGCAGAATTACCTATTATATAGTTTATATTTAAGTCTGAACATTTTTAAGAAATATAACACAAAATAATAGTTATACAAACAACCTTAAAATCAAACATTGTTATGTTTGAGTCCTCTAAAAAACGCCGACAACTCAATTTTTAAATAGGAAAAGACAAAATATATCTACGAATTCATGGTAAAATAATATATATATATATATATATATATTAGGGTGGTCGTTATGTCGGGTAAAAAAAAAATTAACCGGGCCGCCCCTTAAATTGACTCAAAATAGGAAAAAAAAATGTGTGCCAAATTTCAGCCCTATAGGTCTATCCTAAATTACCCCTGTGAAGCACTTGTTCACTAAAAATTTAATTTTTTAATTAAAAATGATAAAGTAATTTTTAATTTTATATTTAGTATAAATAATAATAATTATTGTTATTATTATAATTAAGGGAGAAATATTAATCAAATTATGCATACAATACTATACAGGGTGATCCATATTAAGGGCGCACCATTGCTAACTTCGTTATTGTTGATCATATGATTTCGGCGAAATTAGCAAACAATTAATATTTTTTCTGCTGATTGCAAAGGTAAAACTATAAAAATATTTAAACTATACACTTTAAAGATATTCAAAAAATCAAAATTTAGAATAAAAATGCTTACTTAATTTTGAACACTCTGTATTTGAAAAATGGTTTTAATATTGTTTCTTTTTTTGCACCTACGAAGGATTTGCGGTATTCAGAGATGAGCTGAAGAGCATACTGTTTTTGGTCTTCATCTTTCGTTATTAATTGATTAAACTCAGTGAATAATTGAACCCCCCTTTCCGCAACATCATTTACAACTTTGAGATTGTTTACGATTTTTAATGCATTTTGATAACTCTCACTTTCGCTCCAAAGGGCTGGATCAATATACAAAAAGTCTTGACTGATTCCGAACCGAACAAAGAAATTTCGTGTTTGAGACGTTACAAAATCATCCATTTCTTTTTTACAGAAAATAACCATATCTTTGTATTTTAGTTCAATCCTTTTAGAAATCACATTTTCTATATCTTCAGATTGGTTTAATTCCGTTACCATGCATCGTTTCGTATTCAGTGATACTGATTCATCGAAAAATGCCATCGCAACTGATTCCGAATTAAGGTACCACAGATGGATCACCCTGTATAGTATTGTATGCATAATTTGATTAATATTTCTCCCGTAATTATAATAATAACAATAATTATTATTATTTATACTAAATATAAAATTAAAAATTACTTTATCATTTTTAATTAAAAAATTCAATTTTTAGTGAACAAGTGGTTCACAGGGGTAATTTAGGATAGACCTAGATAGGGCTGAAATTTGGCACACATTTTTTTCCCCTATTTTGAGTCAATTTAAGGGGCGGCCCGGTTAATTTTTTTTTACCCGACATAACGACCACCCTAATATATATATATATTAGGGTGTTTCAAAAAAAAAAAAACTTTTTTTTTTTTCTAAGGGTGTTGAAAAATTGAAAGTACATCTAAAAACAAAAATTTTGGTGCCTATTAGAGCCCTTAATATTAATATTAAGGTTTGCCTCTATTCATTTGTTGTTTTTCCATTTAAATAACACGTAAAACTTTTTTTTTTATTTTCGAATTTTTGTAACTTTGGACTGGTTGGTTTGCGTAACACCCAAGCGAGAGGATTTATAGGAAATTTCACGCTCTACAAAAAACGTCTGAAGGACAAAGTTCCTCAGATCAACCGTTTCGAAGATATCAGCGATCAAAAGTAAAACTAATCAAAAATTTCAAATATTTTTCCATAAAACTACATAAAAATATCATATGCCATGTTTATATTATTTTTTATGTTAAATCACTAAAATTCTGTTAACCTGAGATTGGAAACTTTTTTTTCTTACTAATTAATTCAATACTTAACTCACAAAAAGCACAAATACATGAATAACCTTTATATTTATGTATTTGTGCTTTTTGTGAGTTAAGTATTGAATTAATTAGTAAGAAAAAAAAGTTTCCAATCTCAGGTTAACAGAATTTTAGTGATTTAACATAAAAAATAATATAAACATGGCGTATGATATTTTTATGTAGTTTTATGGAAAAATATTTGAAATTTTTGATTAGTTTTACTTTGGATCGCTGATATCTTCGAAACGGTTGATCTGAGGAACTTTGTCCTTCAGACGTTTTTTGTAGAGCGTGAAATTTCCTATAAATCCTCTCGCTTGGGTGTTACGCAAACCAAC